TCTTTGATAGAACAAGCCAAGCTGGGCCTCGATATCCAGGCATGCTAAGACCCATTTCGCACTACAGCAGATGTATATAATAAGGTGATTATTTTATTAATTGGGGTGGATGAAAGGGAGGACTAAAACTCTGGCCTCGAGTATCTGTTGGTTATACCAGATCAATGGGCAGCTCATTCTTGAATGAAGAGTCAAACAATGGAGAGAAAATATCCCCACCATTATCAACCTGCATCTCTCCCAGAAAGGTTCATATTCAAGGTAGAAAAGCCCTTTCCTAGTTCTCCATTTCCAAAGTCACTCCAGAAAGACCTTAGTTGGACTTTATCCAAGATTAAAGCCCTATAGTCAAAGTGTATGTTGAGCAATTTCAAGAGGAGAGGCAGCATGGATTAAGGAGTAAAACCTAGGCCAGGAGTCCAAGGACTTGGCCTTTCATCCACGCCTTGGCCACCTATTAGTATGTGACTTTACCTCTCTGAACCTCAGTCTCCACAAAGATAAGTAGCAATGATAGTACCTATCCTGGGCACCTAAGCACATAGTTAAGAGAGTCCAGTAAGGTAATGGTTGTGACCATTTTGCAAATCACTGTGGAAAGTGATTGAAATAGAAGGAATCAGATCTGTTTCAGTTCTTTAATAAGCATCTTCTGTGAACCATTTTCATTGCCCACCAAGTGGAAGATGCAGAGTGACTATTTGCAGGAGAAAGCTTGAAGCTGTCACAAAATAAGAGTAATAATACCTCCCTCATTTTCCCCATTTGGAAAATGGGAATAATTGTTGCCCTACTTTCTTCTCCCCATAAGCTGGAGAAGGTAATAATAGCCAGTCTATTCTCCCCAGTAGTGAAATAAGTGGATTGTTTTACTCAGACAACAATGTATAGCCTGAACACATTCATAGCATTGGAAGTAACAGGCATATTAAATTTCTTATGGAGTTAAGTCCAGCATCATTCATTTGATAAACATTGTGCACTGTCTTCCAGGAGACACTATAGGGTGAGCAGGAGACACTTCCTGCTCTCCGGGAGCTTACAGTCTAGTGGGGAAAATCAATATTAACTGAAGGATCACACTAGAGATTGCATATGGTGGGCATTGCATGTATCCTCCACATTCTTTTAACTCCACAACATAGCTCTGCTTTGCAGTGTCATTTCTTCTCCAGAGGAGGCTGCTGCTATGGTAGAGGAATGTTATCTGATTCTAAGTCATGGCTTCCTAAAATCAGGGAGAAGCATTCCTCTTTTACCTGTTATCTGGTGATCGGCTTTCATTGGCACAACTCAACTTCTTTTTAGATTTTTAAAAAAGGTTTATATTTACAGAACTGGGGTACAGGCCAGAGGTACGGGGGTGAGAAGATTCTCCAGAGACAGAGTGGGGAGCAGAACAGGCAGATGTACTGAAATACATTGCCAAGGGGACCAGTGGGCAGGTCAGGAGAGGTCTGCCGCACCATGTGGGTCACCCCCCTGGTTGGGGATTCAAACTGGTGGCTGCGATAGCTTCATAGTGCTATGCTTTGACCTGTTGTGCCACCAGGGAGGATCCTTTTTTTAGGTATTGTTTTTGTAATTGAGATTGTTGGGGGGAGGACCCAATTTTTATAACGAGAGTGCTCCATCCCAATGCCAACCTATGACGAGCTTCAACATCGCTCTGGCAGCTCCGTGGAAGGATGTGTGAACCAAGAATAAGTGGAGGCGAGAAGTAGTCAGACCCCACAAAGGCTGTTCAGATGGCACCCCACCTTCGAGTGGTTTCCACCTTCTGGTGGCTCCTTGAAAGGGCAAGGATGGAGAAAAGCAGAACTGAAGAGGTCCCTGTCGTGCTGTTTGTTTTCCAAGAACCCTCTGTGGCATATTAACACTCTTCATTCCTGAGAAGATGGGATCTTTCCAATAACATCTGCCTCCATTTCCACCCTTTCCACAGTTGTTCCTGGCTTTGAGAAACACCTAGCTGTTTTCCCCTCCCCCTCCTTCCAGCACCTTAAAGGCCAAAGTCAAGCCCTGTTTTTCTTATGTCTTGTTTTTCTAACCCCTTGAGCTCGGTTTATAGCCCTAATTGCATTGCTCTCCTCAGCAGCTGGTTTGAAATGCCCTGTAGATCATTTTTCTGATTAATTCCTGCTAGGCCAGGGACTTACTATCACCATTCAACACTGTTATCACTGTCTTTCGTTCTCTCAGAACTTGGTGTCTTCCAGGTGTTTAAATTGGCAGGGGAAGAGTCACTTGACAGGGTCACCATGCCCTGAGGTATTTGGTCTCTACTAACTCAACATTCATGCAAAGCACTGTGGAAACTCAGTGGAGAGAGGAAGCCTGAAAGATCCCTCTGTTGCTAATGCAGGGTTTTAAATAAATAGCCAAAAAAGGAAATGCCTTTAAGAATCCATGACACCCAAATCACTTTTTTCTGTTTAACAAATTTGAATACAAAGGACCTATTTATTTATGCATACAAGAACTGGGGTGTAGGCTAGAGGTGCAGGGGGTGAGAGGTTTCACCAGAGACAGAGTGGGGAGCAGAACAGGCAGATGTACTAAAATACACTGCTGAGGGGAGCAGCAGTGAGACAGGAGAGGTCTGCTGTGCCATGTGGGTCAGCTCCTAGGCAGGGGATCAAACTCATGGCTACAGTGGCTGCAGCTAGCTTCATAGTGTTGCTTTAACCCCTTGCACCACCAGGGAGGGCCCACCATTCTTTTAGTTTCACAGCCCTTTCTTTGGTCCAGGTGATCAGCACTAAGCAAAGGAAAGTGTGTTTGAGACAGCAATGTACTTCCTTTCTATTTGAGTCCAGCTGTGGTCCCTTGCCCTCTGGTTCTGTACTTCAGACTTATTGCCTGTGACTGCTTATAAACCTGTCTGCCCCCTTCCCTTTCCCATTATTCATCTCGTGCTGCAAATTTTAAGTTTGAAAAGGGGCAATGAATTCTTTTCAGAGGAATAGAACCTTATGTTTTCAGACTGTGAATATTTTCTCTGTCCCTTTAATTAAAGTAACTGTATGCATGGCCTGGGATTAAAATTGAATTTTGGGTCCCTCCCCAGTGGTACAGTGGGTTAAAGCACAGCACTATGAAGCTGCTTGAACATGAGTTCAATCTCCTGCCAGGGAGCTGACCCACCTGGCGCAGCAGACCTCTCCGGTCTCGCCTGCTGCTCCCCTCAGCAGTGTACTTCAGGTAATCCTCCTGTTCTGCTCCCCACTGTCTTTAGTGAGTCTTCTCACCCCCGTACCTCTGGCCTATCCCCCAGTTCTTGATGCACAGATAAATAAATCTTCTAAAAACTTTTATTAAAAATTGGATTTTGGTGGCCCTCCCTGGTGGCGCAGTGGGTTAAAGCACAGCATTGAGAATCTAAAGCCGCTTCTGCATGAGTTCAAATCCCGCTTGCCCCGGAGGTGACCACATGGCGTGGCAGACCTCTCCTGACCCGCCCGCTGCTCCCCTCAGCAGTGTACTTCGTCGATCTGCCTGTTCTGCTCCCCACTCTGTCTCTGGTGAATTCTCTCACCGCCCCTGAGCCTCTGGCCTGTAACCCCAGTTCTGTATGTACAAATAAATAAATCTTTAAAAAAAAAATTGGATTTTGGTTTAGGTGAAAGTTGCAGGGCTGGATTGAGGTTGAGTTATGGTTGCCATCTGAAAGTCAGCTTTGAAAGCGGAGCATAACGTTCTATACTCTTCATTTCATTTAACTTAGAACTGGTTCTAAACCATGAAAGAGAGATGGTGGGAATTTCAGATGTCTTTAGAACATTCAAATAAACGATACTCCAGCTTTGCATTGCTACCTGGATCCAGTTAGTTTCCTCTTCCCTCAGGCCTTTGATGATGCAATTGGGTGTTATGTGCAGAGAACTTAAAGCACACCTGTTCTATGAACACTCAACCTCACCTTGGGTTACAGGAGGTGCACAAGGAAAAGAATGGAACAGAGCATGCGGGAGCTGCACTCCTATCACTCCTCCTCCCTTGCCCAGCACTCACATCCTTGTAGTCAACCATTCGCTCCTTGCTGTCAGCCTCACCTCTCAGGAGAAAACCAGCCTCTTAAATACAGAAGCAGAAGTGGATTAGTGGAAAGAATGCTCTAAGCATTGGGAAACTGACTTCTGGATCCAATTTTACCCATCAGTGGCTGTGGAATTTGGAAAAAGTCACTTAATCCTTCTGCACTTAGTCTCTTGGTCTGCAAAATAGAAATGTACCAGCCCTTCCTCCTCTCCCTGAAGCCCTTCAGGCCGTCCTGAGTGCCACAAGGAACCATGGAGGAGAAAGACCTTTGGAAGAACACAGTGTTGGGGCTTTGCATGTACTTGCCCTCCTAAAACCACCTTCAAACACAGGGAGTGTTTTATAGGGTTATTTCGGTTCCTCACAAGGTGGGGCTGTCATGCTGGGAGCAGAGGCCAGCCTTTAGGAGGGCTGTCCAAACTCATAGGTCTTGAAAACTCCCAGTCACGGGGCGTGACCACAATCTGTCCAAAAGTTTGGCTCCTTCTCACAGCTTTCTAACTGGCATCCAGTGTTTGAGAAAAGCCTGGTTCTCCAGCCCTGCCATTCCAGCCAGTCTAAGAACCTTTCGTCTCCTGGGGTGGGCTGCGGCCAGTCTGGTCAGAGGTTCCTAAAGTTCAATATATGTTCCACCACTTGCGACGTCGTGTTCCTGAAAATGCACTTGGTGTCTCTGCGACTCAGTTTCCTCCTCTGTAAAGTGGGGACACTGATATCTGATTCCATAGGCTTGTCCCAGGGTTGAGGGACACTTAAGACATACCTGAGTGAGTTCCCGGTCTATTCCTACCCATCAACTGCTCCTTCTCCCCTGTTTTGAAGAATGACTGCTAGATATCCATGCTGAGGGTGACTGAAGCATCCCCAAAGCAGGTTAGAAACAGATCAGATGAGACTACTCTTGCAATTGCTGCTTGCGCCAACCGTGCTGACTTGTGTCTCCCCATCGCCCCGTGCAGGGAACATCATCGGCTCTGGCATCTTTGTGTCACCAAAGGGCGTGCTGGAGAATGCGGGCTCCGTGGGCTTTGCGCTCATTGTCTGGATCATAACGGGCCTTATCACAGCCGTGGGAGCCCTGTGCTACGCTGAGCTCGGGGTCACCATCCCCAAATCTGGCGGTGACTACTCCTATGTCAAGGACATCTTCGGAGGACTGGCTGGGTAAGAGGGCCTGCAGGAGCCCCAGCTGTCTAGAAAGCCGAGGTCAGGAGTTTCCAGTGTGCCGAGGAGAGATGGGGGTCAGGACTGCTGGCCACCCTACATGTCATGGTGGCTAGGGTAGCCTTGAGTGGCCTCGGTACTGCTGAGAGTGGCAGAGGAACCAGACTGTGATCTTAATCTCTGTCGATCTCAGCGGAACAGAGGCTGTGAGTAAGAGTAAACAACTGTATGACAGCTCTGACTGCAGACTCCCAGGAAAGCACGTCACAACACAAAACCCCTTTATCTTGACAATGAGAATGACAGGTACCTGCTTCTTACTTTACCAAGCATAATGGTTTCCTCTGGGGCATGGCCCTGATCCTGAATTTCCTCAATTTCTGCAACCCTGCTACCCGGGCACTCACCCCCACCAGTGGGCCCCAGTGTGGAGCACACTTCCCCCGCAAGTCCCACGTGATACACCGGCCCCCTAGCCCCACCCCCAGCTGCTGCTTACCGAAGCACATCCTCCTCTTGTCCTGGTTGTCAAAATCCAGGGCTTACATATTTTATTTGCCACCACTGGATGCTGGGGTGCCACAGGAGAAGAGTTGATGAAAGGAGAAGAGAGAAAGAAGGCCAAAACTGTATGAGTAGCAATTGAAGTGTAGCTCTTCGACGTTAAATAATTTTGTCATTGCAAACAGTTGAGTCTCTTATTTGAGTGGGGGCCAGGCTCCTCAGCCTCCACAAAACAAGTGGAAGTGCACTTGAGTCTACCTACCTCTCCTACCACCGTCCAGTGACTTGCCCAGGCTTCCCCTGATGGCTTCTGAACCTCCACCATGCCTGGGGTGGTGGGAGGGGGACCTCACTGCCTCTTGAGTCAAGTTCCATCCTGTCCCCACACTTCAGGTTCCTGAGGCTTTGGATTGCGGTGCTGGTGATCTACCCCACCAACCAGGCTGTCATCGCCCTCACCTTCTCCAACTACGTGTTACAGCCGCTCTTCCCCACCTGCTTCCCTCCAGAGTCTGGCCTGCGACTCCTGGCTGCCATCTGCTTATGTAAGTGGCCTTTGCTGCTCGCTCTCAGCATGGCCTCTTTTTCCTTTTTTTTTTTTTTTTTTAAATGGTGGTTCTAGTTGGTCCAAAGCTGGAGGAGGTGGAGACAAAGGGTGTGGGAATGCAGGAAGAGCTGTTGTTTCTGCCACCAGACAGGCTAAAGGGGGTGGAAGGAGTGCCACATGAGCGCTGGCCACGGCTATTTCAGGGTGTTGTGCACAGACACAGCTTCCTTTTTCCTGCTGATGCTGCTAAAGTAACAAAGACAAGAAGTGCCCAAACCCTCCCGCTAGAAATGGTGAACCTCAAGCTGTTCAGCCCACCCTTGGGAGGGAAATCAGGATGTAGGGTCCAGTTCCCTGCATGGCAGGATCCCCACTGCTTCCTTTACATATTCCAAAGCCTCTAGCTTAGGTGAGCCCTAGGTGAGCCCAGGCGGTATTTCAGACCTTCTGGAGTAGTTAGTACAGTGGAGGCCAAACCCTCCCTGGAGCTAGGACGACCCTGTCCATAGCTAGCACTCAGGTCCAGACAGACAGGTTGCTGTAACCATCCCCTCTGCAGCCCACCCCTCATCTGGACACCACCAGCACCCAGCCAAGGAGGAATTGAGAAACTCCTACCTTAAGTGATGACAAAATCCTCACCTAACCCAGTTCCTGCAGTCAAAGGTTCAGTAACGTTTATCTGCCCTCTGCTTTCTGTGTAGAACTATGTGTGATTTAATAGCAGACAAGATTGTCCTCCAGAGACAGAGTTTGCCAATGTCCTTGAGATGTGTTCAAGTACTTTTCCTCTGCCATAAGCAGAAAAATCTTCAATCCAAGCTATTCTTCCTTATTCCTTGGAGGAAAATGGAAAGCGTCTCCCCACCTCACCCTGTGTACTTTTTTTCCTCCCAGGTGTGAAGAACCCCCAGTTCGTCTCCCTGTGGGGTGCACACATTTGCATAGGCATAGAGATAGACACCTGCTGGCCCCTTCAGGCCAGAGGTGTCCAGCTTCTTTGAGTTTAGTGCACAGTTTCTGTTTTCTGGTTTGTTGATTTTTTTTTTTTTTTTGAGAGGGTCCAGGCCCCTCAAATTGTCTGCTCGGGTATCCAGCAAAATAGAAACCAGGCTCTCATAAAGGCTTGGTGGATGCTATCTCTTATCAAATGTCCACATCTTTAATTCCAGCATGCCTCCATCCTCTTGGCATTAAGCCAGCTGTGTCAAATAGGTCCAGAGCTCTTCGGGGTAGACCTGAGAGTATTCTTCAGAGAAGCTGTAGAGAGCTTGGGATGACCTGGATGTATTTCTATAAGAAGCTCTTCTTTCTGCTGTGTCATTGTGGCAAGCTGCTGATGGATTCCAGCCAATGTGGAATGAGAGTTTTTGAGGGCCAAGCTTCCCTCTGTGGAGAAGCTGCTGGTGTGTAGTGGAGAGGTTGGCTTGAGGAGTTGGTGGTCAGGGTGTGGAACCCAGGGTGGATAATTGGAGTGGCAAAGCCCCTGGCCAGGGTTTGCTGGAGGAGCGAGCTGATGAGACCAAGTCTAGTTTCATGGAGAGGCTGTTTTGGAATAGATCAAATGAGAAATGATGGTGCAATGAACCAGATAGGGGTGGAAAAGAGGGAAGAACCTGCTGTAACTGGCTTGTCTGCCTGAATGGAGTCTGGACGGGTGGGAGAGGGGAGAGAGAGAAAGAGAGGAAGGGAACCATAGATTCAGATCACGCTTATGCAGCTGCAGTGGCCACTTTGAGTTATTCTATTATTTAGGTCAAAGCTGATTATTCACTGCTGAGTCGGCGGGATATCCCTGACCACCAGGCAGGGAAAAAAAAGAAAGTATTTTACATTTTAATTAAATGAAAAGCCTTTCTCCCTTCTCCAGAATAAGCATGTTAGTGGGAGGGGAAGAGTTGGGACAGAGGTACTGAACTTGGTTTGGGGGCCTTTTGCAATTTGTTTGGGTGTTTCTTCTTCCTTTTTTTTTTTTCAGGGTTCCTAAGTGACTATATTGTCTAGGTACAAAATTCAAATAATATATAGAATTAACTGCAAAAGCTTCTCCTAATCTTCCCCTTCTCCCCTGCCTAGTAGTTGTGACAACAGTGGATCAGTTGGGGGGCCTCTCTGGTGCTATAGGGGTTAGGTCTTAGCACTGTGAAGCTATCAGAGGCCACTGCAGCATGAGTTCGATCCCCAGCCAGGGACCTGACCCACATGGCTGTCCCACCCGCTCCACTGCAGTGTATTTCAGTAGATCCACCTGTTCTGTACCTCACTCTGTCTCTGGTGAGTCCTGTCACCATCCTCCCCCCCCATACATACACACCTCTGGCCTACACCCCAGCTCTTGTATCTATAAAGAAATAAACAAAATGCATATCTCTGCACCTATACACAGATAGGTAATTTATGCAGCTTACTCTTTTATCATTCATATGCATCTTTTGGCTAGTACCTGAGTTTCCAGTTATAGTTGTGCCCCTTTATCCAGTCTAGCTCTCCAAAGTTCCAGTTACCCATGGTCAACTAGAATCCAAGTTATTTTGAGCTAAAGAGAACATATTCACACAACTTTTAGTACAGTATATTATTTTAGTTGTTCTGTTTCTTTTTTAAAAAAGATTTATTTTTAATTTATTTCTGCATACAAGAACTGGAGTATAGGCAGAGGTGCAGGGAGTGAGAGGATTCACCTCAGACGGAGCGGGGAGCAGAACAAGTGGATCTATTGAAATACACTGCAGAGGGGAGCAGCGGGTGGAACAGGAGAGGTCTGCTGCGCCATGTGGGTCAGCTCCCTGGCCAGAACTCAGGCCACAGTGGCTGGCAATAATAGCTTGATAGCCCTGAGACTTAAACCCCTGCACCACCTGGCAGGCCTCTTTTTCAGTATTTATTATTGTTGCTAACCTCTTACTGTGCCAAATTTATGAATTAAACCATCATAGATATGTACGCATAGGAAAAAACATAGGATATTTAAGGTTTTAAACACAGGTTCCAGGCATCCACTGTGTCTGGATGTCTTGAACATATCCTCCATGGTTAAGGGGTGGATGTGGGGGTGGGAGGTGCTACTGTGGAAAACAAAGTGGTCCCAGTACCAGAGAGAGAACAGCAGGTATTCTGCGACCCTTGTTTGTGCTTCCTTCCCATCTCTGGGTTTTCCTTTGGAATCTCTTTGTGCCCTCCCCCACCCCCTCAGGGCTGGTCTCCTTCCTCTCAGTGGGGGCTATAGTCATCTGAAGTAGAATTTTTTCTTTTTTTTAAAGATTTATTTACTTATGCATACAGAACTGGTGTACAGGTCAGAGAGGCAGGGGCGGTGAGAGGATTCACCAGAGACAGAGTGGGGAGTGGGGAGCAGAACAGGCAGATCCACGAAGTACACTGCTGAGGGGAGCAGCGGGCAAGGCAGGAGAGGTCTGCCGCGCCATGTGGGTCACCTCCTGGGCTGGGGGTTGAACTTGCACTGAAGCAGCTGTGGCTAGCTTCCAGTGCTGTGTCCTAACGCTTTGTGCCACCAGGGAGGGCCCGAATTTTTTCTTCTGAGGACCCCCTCCTCTCCCTGAGTTCTATGTACCCAAGCACCTTCTCCTTTCTGACTCCAGGAGAATGAAGTAAAAGGAAAATTTTATAAGGAAAAACTGCTTCTTATCTTGTTTTCTATCTTTGTACTGAGATTCCTAAGAGGTTAATTTTCCAGAGCTTCAGATTTCTCCTCTTTTTTTCCTTGAGCAATTTGGAAGGGAAAGGCTTTCCCTGTATATATTACTTATAACTTTGATTCTCCTCCATGGAGAATCCAGGTGCTTGATGCAGGATGTTGTGATAGTTAAACTTGTGTATGTTGCAAGTCTCTTGCAAATTAATCCCTTGACATCTGAGGGTTCAGCAGTCTTTCTTAATTTCTAAATCCCTTAATCTCAGTTCACCTTCCTTTGAGGTTCCATATTCTCTTGTTCAAACTTCTTACCCCCTTGCGCTAAATGTATTTCCTCAGATGCCTTGGGGGCCCTATCTTCTTCCCATTCTCTCACCCCCAAAAGGTTCTTTAGTGTCTCATCTGCCTCGTATATGTGAATCCAGACAGACACAAACTTGCCCAGATGTGATTTCCATACATCCAAGTTGCCTTTTTCTCTATATATTACTTCTAACTAGCCAACATTTCAAATTTAATTATATAGAAAATCTCTTGATTTTTACTCACTGGTCAATTTGGCTAAAATCCCATTTTTCATATTTATGATGAATTAAGACTAAAATTAGGGCCCTCCCTGGTGGCACAACCAGTTAAGTGCAGCACTATGAAGCTATCATAGCCACTGTAGCCAAAGTTTGATCCCCAGCCAGGGAGCTGACCCACATGACACAGCAGACCTCTTCTGACCCACCCACTGCCTCCCTCAGCAGTGTATTTTAATACATCTGCCTGTTCTACTCCCCACTCTCTCTCTAGTGACTCCTCTCACCCCTGCACCTCTGGCCTGTGCCCCAGTTCTGTATGCATAAATAAAATAAACCTTTAAAAAAAGGGAAAAAGGCTAAAATTTTTCTATAAGTAGGTCATCTAGAAAAAAAAATTACAAATCTATCAGTTAATCATTACATTGAGCTCCTACATTGAGTGGAGAAAAGACATTTTCTTTTATATATAAATAAAGCCATTTATTTATTTATTTATTTATTTATTTATTTATTTATTTTTAAAGATTTATTTATTTATTCATACAGAACTGGGGTACAGGCCAGAGATACAGAGGGTGAGAGGATTCACCAGAGACAGAGTGGGGAGCAGAACAGGCAGATGATCAAAGTACACTGCTGAGGGGAGCAGCGGGCGGGTCAGGAGAGGTCTGCCACGCCATGTGGATTTCCTCCGGGGCAGGCGGGCATCGAACTCATGCGGAAGTGGCTTAAACTTCTTAGTGCTGTGCTTTAACCCACTGCGCCACCAGGGAGGGCCATTTATTTATTTTTTAAGATTTATTTATTTATACATACAAG